CATCGTTAGAGAAAGAACAAGTGTGTCCACAACTGTGGAAAATAACATGCCTGTGGTGGCAGTAGCTCAGGAGGTACAGTTGTTTTCCAATAACCGGAAGGTCAATGGTTCAATCCCTGCCCTATCCCTAGTCTGTCCTTTGTGTAATAATTTAACCCACCTTGCTCCTATTGCATGTCCTCCACTGGTGTATTATTGTGAGTGTTGTGTGGTGGTAATCTAAGATGCAGTAGGTACTGATTGGCAGCCATGTTTTCATCATTGTACTAAGGTGGTTTACCACCACCAGGGTGTCACTGTGTGAGCAAATGAATGATGTATCCAATGTAAAGCGCTTACAGGTCACTGGTGAAAAGCTCTATAAAATTTGATACATTATTAGAGTATAATTTTGTGGCTGGGAGGTGCGCGGAAAGAGAAAAATTTCAGACAATTTCATGCAACTTCTCTCACTCTAGCCATGATGTCACCCAATCTGGCACAAAGATTCATCACAATACACACTCATTATAATCTTAAAATTTCGAACAAAAGATCACGTTCATTGAACAGTAAGTGTTCAAAAACTACAATATTTGTCGAAACATACATTACCGTCCTGTGGGAAACACTGTATATACATGACTACATAATAAAGAGCATAATATAGATAGCTGACATAATAATATCGTGATAAAATGTAGAGTATGATGGAAAAAAATGTGTGTAATTAAGTACATTGAAAACATCGAGGTATTAATGGAGAGTTCAAAGTACTGACGTGTCAACGGGCAGAGGCTCCTTTGCAGCATCAGCAAGCTCCTTCTGAAGCTTTGCCTGTCTGCGTCTGCAATACAAAACAGTCAGAATGAGACGGAAACAGTTATGGAAACAGTAGGAAAAAAAAAAGAATTAGTAACAGAAACAGACAGAAGCAGTTAGACAGAGACACACACATTTAGAGATAGAAACAGTCACAGGGCTTGACAGTGCATCCGTTTCCCTCGCATTTGCGACAAAAAATAGATGTGTGTAAAATTTATTTTATGTCAGCCAATAACACACACATCATTAGATCATTTTCCATTGTGCCCCTTAAGTTCTTTGTGTCCTCCTTACCTTTTCAACTTAGGAGCACATGTGCTCCTCGTAAAAAAAATTAGTGTCAAGTCCTGAGTCTGACAGACTGTGCTGCTGGAAACAGTATGAACATTGATGACTGCTTTACTGAATACATCAACTTCTTTAGAGACACAGTTATACTGACAACGACTGTTTGCGGATTCCCCAACAACAAACCCTAGATCACAAAAAGCAATCCTTAAGCAGAAAAAGACAAAGGTGACAAAGACTGACTCAAACAAGTACAACAAGAGTTGAAGAGGAGACTGAAGATGGAAAGCTGGAATACAAAAAGAAGACAGAGAGCAATCTACAACACAATGGATCTTCGTTTTCAAATAAAAAAAACAAAAATCGACAACTAGTAGGGATTCGGCAAACTGAAAACTAATGTTTTTTTTATTTTTTATTTTTCGTTTTGATCATAAAAATCAGAGAATGAAAAAACAACTTGGTGTTTGACTTTGTGTGATGTGGCTTTAAACCAATACCAAAGATTAAAATGTGTGCATGGAAATTTTGTGTCTAATGTCTGCTATTAATACAAAACATTTCATTAAAAATAAACAAACAATGTTCTGTTTGATTAGCACAGGTCATATCTGTGGTGGAGCCGGCATTTTCCACAGTATCTACGCTAATCGCATTTATTAAAGCCATCGAGGATGAAAACAATGTGGAAACATTATCTGTCACCTTAAACAGGACAGTGCTATTGGGGGGTTGGGGGAGAATATAAAGAACTGGCTTGTATAGTGAATGTATACTAGTGTTACCTCTTTGGCTACCTCGTCCCTAACCGTGGTATGGGACAGCTACTTTGGCTGGTTTAAGGCTGGAAACTAGCTGGTCCAGCTGACATGGCAGGAGAAAACGGGGGACAACACAGAGCAACTAGAGACAACCAGAACTTCTGAATGGTTTTCTTTATTCAGAGCTGCTACACACACAACTGCTGGACGCCAATAGCACAGACCTACTCTCGCCGCGCTCGGCGTTACTTGCCTACATGACCCATAAGCCCCCTACTACAGGCTCATGCAGGTAACACTAGCTTTTAGCTGGTTTGTTAGCGCCTAGGCTGTAGACGGGGAGGCTAAGGCTTATCTTCTTACACAGTTGGTTGCAACTTGTTAACCAAAGTTGGACACGATCTTATAAACTTAAAAGCATGTAGAGCCAAGTCAGAGCCTCAATGTCCCACATCAAAGTGTTGGGGTGTGAGTGTCAGCTCCAGGTGAAATACACACTGCTGATGAACTCCAGAAGCGAAGTGATCTTACAGCCATGCAGGTGCAATATTGTGGAAGGTGTGTCCATATTTTGGCAGATTTTCACCAAAATTATTAAATAAATACATTTTAGATCACTATTCCTTCTTCCACCTTATTCCTGAGGGCACTACTGTGGTAACGAGCCTTTCGCTCCAAGTCACAACTTCCGCGTCGCGACAAACAAGTGAATGAAACTTGAAACACAAGATTTCCACGCACGTATTTTTGATCCTCGATTTCCGTTTAAAGCCACAGAACAGAAAGTCAAATACCGAGTTCTTTTTTCGTTCTCTGATTCTTGTGATCAAAATGAAAAATGGTTTGTTTTTCATTTTTCATTTTCCAATTCCCTACCGGTCATCTTCCGATTTTTATTTTTTCATTTTGAAATTAAAAGCTGTTGGCCGCTAAGTACACGGACTGGAGAGGAATCAGTACCATCTCTGGGCACAACAAGGAAAATAGAATAGAAAAGCCAGTGGTGGGTGATGTGGTCCTGTCTTTGACAGAGACACAGAAACAGTTACAGAAAAAATCTGACAGAGACAGAAACAGTTAAACACAGAAGCAGAGCACATAAGGGACATAGTCATTCAGTCAGTGATACAAGCATGAAAATTGGCATGAGCATTTTCATCCGTCACTTTACAAGGAAAGTGTCCCAGCCATTTGAAATTTCAAGATGGCGGCCATTTTTCAAGATGGCCACCACCTAACTGGAACAATTAGGTGATGTCCTTTTTAAGGTGGTGATATAGGCATTAAAATTTTATTGTCCTCATACAGTGTACAACAAACTTAAAGTGGAATCCCGATGGTACAAAAAAACTATGTGATTAAAAACATTGTTAAATAAAATACAAAACCACAGAATAGAGTAAAAAGTTAATGTCAAAACATCATAATCTGGTTGTCTCTAGTTGCCTAGTTGTCTAGTCTAGTTGTCTAGTCTCAAACACTGCAAAAACTCAGTGAATGCCCCTCTGCAATTGATGAGAGCGACCTGCAAGCGTTGGAGAGATTTGCTGTGGTGATCTACAACAGATCCAGTGATGTCACAACTGTCGATGAGGCGAGGCTTGATCTTTTTGCAAGAAAGCAGAGGCCATATGACCTCATCCCACCACCTCAAGCAGCACTGAAAAAGCATGCCAAATGTGCAGCTTATGAGGCTGGATATGTGTGGGGACAAGCAAAAGCCAGAAATGCCAAGCCCATCTGACTGTGGATGGATAAAAGAAGATAACAAATGAAGAATCTTTTGGTCTCCTCTTTCTCTTGTTGCAGAGAGTTGTTGGGAGTTGACCAAATGTGGGAGCACCAAGAAATGTACTGGATAATGCAAGTGCTTCAAATGTGGACTCACATGCACATGTCCATGTAGTTGCCCCTGTTAGAAGCTAGGTGTGTATTCTTTTTGCCAGGACTACTTCCCCTTGTTAACCTTTCCCTTGTCAGAAAGAAAAAAGTTACAAAAAAGGTACAAAAAAAACAAAAAAGTTTTAAAAAGGTACAAAAAAAATCCCCCTTGTGACTGTTACCTTGTAGTTATGTTAAGGGAGCTTGCAAACTTCTGTAACTTCTGCAAACTTATGGAGAATTGTCTTTCCAATTTTCACGTTTATATCACCAACTTTACATGATATTACTGCTGTAATGAGATGGCAGCTTTCTTTCAAATGGTCGCCACCTTAGAATTTCAAGCAGCTTGGGGCATTTTCTTGTTAAGGTGCTCATGGAGAATGGTCCTTCTGTTTTTCATGTTTATATCACCAACTTTACATCATTTGACTGCTCAAATGAGATGGTGGCCATCTTTAAAATAGCCGCCATCTGGAAATTTCGAGCAGCTTGGGGCATTTTCTTGTTGAGTGACTCATGAAGACTGCTCATATCAATTTTCATGGCTATATCACCAATTTATCAAGTACATCACCTAACTGTTCCACTTAGGTGGCAGCCATCTTGAAAAAATGGCCGCCATTTTGAAATTTCAAATGGCTGGGACACTTTTCCAGTGCAGTGACCCATATATCCTTGTATCATCAACTGAGCGATTCTGGCTAAAATTTGTACTTGGCCACTGCACTACAGAAACAGATACATTTAGACAGAGACAAAAACAACTTTACTGAGATACAGAAACAGTCAGTCAGAGCAGCAGCGTTTTTAAACAGGCAGTCAGACCTGCTGTCCTTCTCGTTCTCTGCGTTTAGCTTGTTGGCCTCCTGAGCTTTCTCAGCCATCCAGCGGGACACCAGCTCCTGGTTGTCCTCGGTGGTTTTTCTCAGTTTCTCTTCCAGAGCAGAGAAGGTGATCTGCAGGGCATCATACTCGTCCTTCAGTGTCTGATTGGCTCTCTCTAGGTCCTGCAGGGGCACAAGAAGTGTTAACAAATTATATGTCATTGATTCTAAATCTGAAAGTTGCCATGGTAACATGCACCTTGCTGAATCAAAAGAATCTCTGGGGTATAACTGACACTGCATCAGTTCACTGAGAGCAACACAGACACTCAGAGAGCTGTAGTGAGTGATGTAACTCATGTTTGTGTTTAATGTATAATTTAAAAAGTCCGATATAATGGAGATTTCTTGCTGACTTCCTGTTTGATCAATTGGTGGGGGCCTCAGGTTGAAAACTTTAGATCAGCCCCTTCCACTCCCCCACCACTCTGGCACTCTGAGCTGATTGGTTGTGTTGTATGACATCAGTGAGCTTGCAGTTTCTCTGTGCAGACTCACACTGGAATGTCACATCCTGTCTGTCAGCAGCTGCTGGAACCACCACTGCACGCCTAGAGCATGATGGGAGCTGAAAGCAGGGGCTGCTGGGAGCCAGAGGGTGGCAGGAGAGGATTTTGGGTAATCAGACCTTTTACTGCTCATCACAGACCTCCACCATATCTGCAAAAAATCTGCATGCTGAACCCATTACCATATAACCCCTTGGATCACCTGACCCCGCCCCCTCCAGGTGCCTCTTACCTGCAGACAGCTCTTTAGTTCCCTACAGTCTCCCTCCAGACTGCTGATCTGCTGCTGATACTCCAACATCCTGAAGACAGGGAAAACAAATGAGCACACTTATAGAGATACAGACATGCACAAAGACATAGACAGAGACAGAGACACACAGACAAAGAGGGATTGCTTGATTTGAAACAGTGGGTCATATTTAAATCTGAAAACATCTCCACACTCCCAATTTCTGTAGCAAACCAAACTGAGCTCATACTGATGACCTAACAGTGAGGGCTGACTAAGGCCTTGTCCACACATAGCCGGGTATTTGCCAAAAACAAATATATTTTTATACGTTTGGCCTACCATCCATACAAAACCGCAGGATTACGTCATTAAAAACAGTGCTTTTGGAAAACTCCGGCTGAAATGAAGATTTTGGAAAACTCAGGCTTTGCATTTGTGAGTGGACATAGATAACCAGTGTTAAATTCCCAAATGTCATTGTCCACGACGACTGATAGATAAACTTCATATGCCATACGCCCTTGTTGATGTCAAACAGTGGATGGCACAGATAAATACAGAATATATATTTTTGTGAGGAGCAAAGAGGGAGTGCTTTATTCTACATCAATCAATCAATCACTTTATTTATAAAGCACTTTTCATACATGGACTGTATCACAAAGTGCTGTACATTAAAGAACACAAGAAGGAGAGGATCAGGGGATACAAGATTAAATACAAAATAAAATACAAATTGCAAAACCCCACCCACCCACCCTCCAAGCCCGCATTTAACGCAGACCCCACCACCCACCCACCCACACTTCTTTTTCTTTAGGTAGTCCATCGTCGCCGATGTTGACCTTTGTTACTGTTTGTGAGTCCTTTGATGACTGTACAATCCAATGCGTGATTTACACCACAGTCAGGGCATGTTTAGGCCGGGCCCGATGTGGCAGGTGCAGACTGGGCCAGCTTCCGCCTGTGACTCTTTGCTAGGCGCGGTTTCCTTCTCTCCTTCTCATTAAGTTGGAGTCCTTTTTGGCAGAGTCCACGCCAGGAGGGGCGATCTGCTGCGGCATCCTCAAGGGAAGGGGGTTTGATTCCACACTTCTTAAGGGTGATCTTGATTTGGTCCTTCAGTGTTTTCTACGGTCCTCCTGTGGAGCATTGGCCTAGGTGGAGTTGGCCATATAGTATCTTGCGGGGCAGGCGATTGGCTGGCATCCTTATAATGTGACCCAGCCATCGCAGTTGGTGGTGCATAATGGTCACCTCTATGCTCCTGCAGTTGGTGCTCTCGAGGACTTCAGTGTGTGAGAGACTGTTTCGCCAGGTCACCTTTAGGATGCGCTGGAGGCACTTAATGTGAAATGCCTCGAGGGTTTTTAAATGGCGTGCGTAGAGTGTCCATGTTTCGCAGCCGTATAGGAGGGTGGAAATACATATGGCCTAGTACACTGCGATCTTTGTGTGTAGGTGGAGGTTGCTGTTGCAGAAGACCCTTTTCCTCAGTCGTCCAAAGAATGATGAGGCCTGTTTTATCCTGTTTTCGATGTCCTTGTCAACGCTGCAGTCTTCTGACAGGATACTTCCCAGGTATTTGAAATGGGGGACAATGGTGAGTAGGGATTCTGCAACTGAGAAGGCTGGTGGGGTCTGTGGGGATTTAGAGGACCACTGGCAGAGAACTTCTGTCTTTGAAACATTGACAGACAGACCCATCCTGCTGTACGCTCTCACAGCAGCTGTGAGAGTGGCCTGCAATGCCTCTGGCGTGTGTGCCACAAGGGCACAATCATCAGCTTACTGGAGCTCCAGTATGTGTACAGACTGGAGCTTTGTTGTGGCTTGGAGCCTCCTGATGTTGAAGAGGCTCCCATCCAGCCTATAGTCCAGGGTCACCCAGCTCTCCTCCTCTATTTCCGTGTGTAGGAGTGTTGTTACACATAGGAGAAAGATATTAAAGAGGACCGGTGCGAGAACACATCCCTGCCTCACACCGGTGCCTACTCCAAAGGAAGCAGATTCTAGACCACCAATTGTCACCTTGGCCGTCATTCCGTCATGAAACTGCCGTAGAATGTTGACAAACTTCCCCGGGCAGCCATAGTGCAGGAGTACTCTCCAAAGGAGGTCACGGTGTACGGTGTCAAATGCCTTGGAAAGGTCCACAAAAGCTATGAAGAGATCTTGTTTCTGTTCACGGCATTTTTCCTGCAGCTGCCGCAATGTGAAGATCATATCTACTGTGCTTCTGCTTTTCCGGAAACCGCACTGAGATTCTGGCAGCAGATCTCCAGTAGTGGAGTTGATGAGCCTGTGGAGCATGATCTTCGCAAGAATTTTGCCAGCAACAGAGAGGAGTGCTATACCTCGGCTGTTCCCGCAGATGGATCTATCCCCCTTGTTTTTGAATATAGTGATGATGTTTGCATCCTTCCATTGTTGGGGAATGCACTCTTCCCGCCATACAAGGGAGATGAAGTTGTGGATTGCTTTAAAGCAGAGGTAGCCCCCCTTCTTCAGGATTTCAGCAGGGATGGAGTCAGGTCCAGGGGATTTATTGTTTTTCAATGCCCTTATGGCAGCACGCACCTCGCTGAAGGATGGTGGGTAGGCTTGGGAGCTCCTCCAAGACTGACAGATCGACTGCGGCTGCCTCAAAGTGCTCCCCCCATCTTTGGACAATCAATGCTTGGTCTTTAATGAGGGAGGATTCATCTGCAGTTCGAAGAGGGCAGACAGTATGGGTTCTTGGACCATGGATGGGCTTTATTGCATCGTAGAAATTGTGCATGCCATATCTGTCTGCATGCGATTGTATCTCCTGGGCCTTGGATACCCACCAGTGATTTTGAGTTTGCCTCAGAGTACACTGGACCACTCTCCTTTGATCTTGCCATTGATGTTTCAGGGCTATGGAAGATGGATTGTTGAGCAGGGCTTTGTGCATGTTATTGAGGAGAATGGTGATATGTGTGGAGTTCTCATCTAACCAGTCCTGATGTTTTTTCCTGCTGTAGCCAATAGATTGTGCAGCTGCTTCATAAAGTGAGGAGCTCAGGGTGGACCACTTGTCTGTAGTTGTTCCCTCCATGCCCAGGAGAGAATCAATGTTCTACAGCTGTTTAGCCAGGGAACATTGGAGGGTATTGCATGTCTCCATTTCCTTCAGCCGGGCACAGTGCAACCTTCTCTTGGTGGGTTTTTGGAGGTGTAGCGCTGGGCGAATCCTCAGTTTGAGCATGGCCATGATCATCCTATGGTCTGTCCAGCACTCTGCCCCTCTCATGGCTCTGGTGACGTGGACATAACTCAAATCTGTGTGTCTGACAATGATGTAGTCCAAGAGGTGCCAGAGCTTGATCGAGGATGCATCCAGGAGGTTTTATATTTGTTTTGCATTTGGAAGATGGTGTTGGTGATGGTAAGGTTGTGTTCAGCACAGAGGCATAGGAGCCTTAGCCCATTAGCATTGGAGTGGCCAACGCCATGTTGCCCAATCACGCCTTTCCAGACAATGCTGCTTTTCCCCACTCTTGCATTAAAGTCACCCAGCAGCAGGATCTTGTCGCCTTTGGGGACTTTGTGCAGGGCCTCATCCAGTACCTCATAGAAGCGGGATTTCACGTCCTCCTCTGACGGCAGAGTGGGTGCATAGGCACTGAAGAGGGTAGCATGCTGTCTTCCTGCAAGGGGGATGCGGAGTGGCATGAGTCTTTCATTTGTGCCAGTTGGTGTCTCAGTGAGATTAGGCAAAAGGCAGTTCTTGATAGCCAGGCCAACGCCATGCATGTGTTGTCCTCCAATGGGGTATCCCTTCCAAAAGAAGGTGTAGCCAGCTCCCTCTTTCCTGATTGATCCCTCTCCCAGTAATCTGGTCTCACTTAGAGCAGCGACATCGATGTTATAGCGCTTAAGCTCTGCCGCGACCAGTGCTGTTCTTCGGTCTGGCCTGCTGGTGTTTTGACTGGAGTCCAAGAGGGTCCTGATGTTTCAGGTTGCCAGTCGTAGGGGTAAGTTTCTTTTTTGCTTTGCATTTGTTTGTTTTCGACCGCTGGGGGAATCACCTGATAGGCGCGGTATCCTATCCAGGGTTAAGTCTGAGTGGACAATGTTTAGGTCACCTTTTCCAGACCTGTCCCCCACAGGGGTGAGCAGTGTGACCCTAAATAGGGCTGCTCAGGCACACAGGGGACTGCCGGGAGCAGCTGCCACTCAGATTTCCAGCTGCTGACGACCATAAATAGCCCTGTGCCGCTACTGTGCAGGGACCGAGCTAGGATCTTCCAGATAATTCACTCCTGCCCCCGACGCCAGGTACTCCATCGCCAGTAGACTTGTGATGTGTGGCGGAACTCGCTAAAACCCACCCACACACACAGACACACACAAGGACTCTCACAACCACTGGGACACCAAGTCAGGGCTCAACAGGGAGCCCCAGAGGACCAAGGAAACGCTATCTTAAACTAAAATGGGGAAACACTGGAGCTGAAGCTAAACTGATAAAACCATGGCAAGTTATAGGAAACTCGTAAAATGATAAAAAAATAAAATAAAATAAAATAATAATTATAATAATAATAATAACAATAATAATAATTTTAAATATATTATATATTAAAACTGTTTTTAAATCAAACAATACAAGAAAATAAACAAACAGTGCTAAAACAATAACAAAATAATACAAAGTAATAATTCTGGGACTTAAGTGGAGTAAAATACACCAAATAGCCCTTCCTCCACCTTTCTTGTGTCTTGTTGACTTTATATTCCAAAACGTTGCTAAAAAGCTATTCCACCTCTTTGTTGGTCCACACAAACGAACGACATGGCGCTATGTTTCATGTTTGGGGGAAGAGACGATGAGAAAGAGAAGCTTGTTCTGATTGGATAGAGTGGGCCTAACTTTTTG